TCACTTGGAAGGGCGGCCGTAGAACCAGGCTCCCCTTCGCCTCTCTTCCCGAAGCAGTTTCAGGGGCAGCAGCAGGAGGGGGCGGAGGCTGAGGGCTGGTGACCCGCCGCCTCTGCTCATTGTTTCCAGCCCCGGGGGAGGGGGCGGGAAACAGCAGCTGCAGATGGGGCTGCAGATGGGGCTGATAAGAAGAGCGAGGCTGCACCACTCGGTTCTGGGTAAAAGTCCCTCCACCTGACTTTTCCCATCTCCCTCCCACTCTTCACCTCTGGGGTCTGACTCACTTTCCAACTGGTTTAAAGGAAGGTGCTGTGAGCTGCTGAGTGTGCAGTGGGGTGACCTTGAGAGGTCATTTCAGGGTCCCCCTGCCACAGGGCAGGAGAGGGCATCAACTGGCCCAGCCAGGGGGAATGTCTGTGTGTCTATTCTTGACTATTCAGGAAGATGAAGGTTGATTGGATTTTAGCTGCTAAGGGAGAGGCCGAGGTGAGTGAGGGTGGGCAGAAAAGAACACATTTGATGGGGCAGCTGGAAGTAGGCACGGGGGTCTTTGGGGGCCACTTTCAGTGGAAAGAGCACTGAACTTGGACTCAAAAGCTCTGGGCTCTGAGGTCTGTCACTAATGCCTCTTCTGTGCCCAGTTTCCTTGTTTCTAAAACGAAGTGGGCAACATGTACATCTCTGAGATCCTATCGGGAGATTTTCTCGGCTCAGGCTAGAGAGCTGTGTTGACATAGCATGGTAAGGACATCTCTTTCATCCCACCATTGACTCCCTTCCACATCTGGAGAAACTGAGGCTCAGAGAAAAATGATACAGCCAAGATCCCAGGCTGGGCACCCCAGCACCAGGTGTCATTCAAAGCCTAAGCCAGTGGCAGCCTTGCCCTGCCCAGCCCCAACTGGTGGCCTTCCCCAGCCCAGCTACAGCCTTGGCCCAGCCCCGAGCTCAGTGCAGGAGGGGAGGTAGGGCTTTAGGCCTGGCTGACTGGCTATATCTGAGAGCCGCCCCAGCCCACCCCTGGCCTCACCCTGACGGAGCTCCGCATGGGGCCCAGGTCGTGGTTATAGGCCTCCACTATCAGCACGTGGGATGAGTCTTGCTCCCGGTCCAGGGGCTGGGGCCCTCGCACCAGGAGCCCGTCACTGACGTGGATACGGAAGTGGTTGCCATGGTTACCTGTGTGGAGAGACAGATGAGATGCGTGGGCTCTGTCCTGGAGCAGGAGCCTCTTGGGATTGTGGGGTAAAGAAGGGGGACCAGCCCCCAGAATGCTGATCCTGCCCAGAGGTCTCAGGACATGGTCCCTGCCTCATGCTGGACTGGAGGGAGCGGATAATTTACTCTGTACCCTCCATACAGGGAGCCTGGGGGACCCCTGAGACCCCCCCCCCCCCCACCGAGGTGTCAGTGGATTCAATATTTCAGAGGGATCTGGGCACCACAGAAAGAGGAACCCAAACCAATTTCTCTGTGGGTGGGCAAAGCCCGGATTTGGTGGACATCTCCGGGCTGGCCCAGTGCCGTTCCCATGTCTTGTGGTAACAGCACCCCGATTTTCCGCTGGGGACCCACCCTCCCTCCCTCCCTCTCAAATGAGTGCTTTGTGACTCATTTTGGGAAGCTGGGGGCACTGCCCTGTGCCCAAGGCAACAGTGATGGTAAGGGACGGGCCCATGAGACATGTGGGGCCATGACAATCTCTGGGGAGCTGGCACCGAAGGCTGTCCCGGTCCTCACCACCCCTCCGGCGCGTCAGGGGCAGGACTGGAGGCAGGGTCTGACTGAGCTTACAGTGTCTGCTCCCCGCCCTCCGCGAGCCTCTCTCCTGGGGAACCTGGATGCTGGCAGCCCTGAATAGAGACCCGCTGGCTGCTGCAGACCATACCACTCACATGCAGCACCCGCATCTCTAACTTGGTGCAGGGGGCTGGAGAATGCCCCCATTTCTTCCCTCTGGCCCGCCCCGTGTGTACGGTACTGGGGCTCCCTCGCCTCGGCTCCCAGACCCCTGGTAGCCGAGAGAAGCTCTGCCCAGGGAAGGGCTGCCCCTGCCCTCCCAGACCACCTGCTCACCTTGGAGGATGCGGTACCACACACGCCCAAACTCGCCCTCGTCGGCGTCTGTGGCCTGTAGCTGAGGGAGGAGGATATAAAGTCAGCCTGAATGCCAGCCCACAGGGAGAGAGATGCTGTGGAGTCCCTCTCCGTCCCTCCACACACCCCAGCCTGTCCTGCCCAAGCCTGTGGCTTCCCCCGGAGGCTGGGGTGTGAGACAGGAGAGGGACGTGTCTGTCTTTCTCGTCCCCCCAAGGACACCTGACTGCTGATGCCTCCAGGTTGCCCTGTCTGTGGTGGGGACCTTGCCAGCTGTTCTCTGATCCCCTCCAGGTTCTTGGGGAGGATGGGGAGAAGGTGGGTGATGGGTCCAGGCTTGACTAGGTCAGCTCACACATCCACACGTCCCTCCTCCAGCCCTTTGAGCGCTCAGAACCTCACCCCGGGTGGTGGATTGCGTGGCTGCTTCTTGACTGGGTGACCCTGGCCAGGCCACACCTCTCTAGACCTCGGTGTTATCGCCTGAGGGGGCTGGATGAGATGGCTCCCCTCATCTGATGGATCTGACAGCCCTTGGAAGGCTCCCGTCCGTCTGAGGCTGTGCAGAAAATGCTTTTGTGGTCAGGGGCTAAGGGCAGGAGGAAGCAGCTGAATGCCCCCAAACTAGGGCTCCACAAGAGGGGCTGGGCTCCAGGCGCAGGTCTTGGGCAGAGCCACGGCTTCTCCCCGTGTTGTGTTTCTGGGAGCTTGGGGTTCCTCAATGGAGAAGCTGCTTGAGGCTTAGGCTCCTAAGGGGGCAGCTTGTTGCCAGGGAAGCTCTGGCTTCTGGGAAGAAGGAAGGTTGGGGGAGGAGCGTGTGTGTGGGGGGGGGGGGGAGAGGGGGGAGTAGTAGCGGGGTGATTATATGTGTGTGGGTGTGAGCCAGTTCTGTTCTCTGATCATGTCTATGTGTAGGTGGTGGGGGGTATGTGGGTGAGGGTGTTTGTGGGGGGTGGGGTGTGTGGGGTGGGTGTATGTGTGAGTGTGAGGTGTGTGGTGGGTGTGTGGGCTGTGGGGTGTGGGGTGTGTGGGGTGGGGGTATGTGTGGGGTGTATGGGGTGTGGGGAGAGCCACTGCCTGGAGGGTACCCAGGGGCCCACCATACTCAGGAGCACAGCCTTGGCTGCCCCTCCATCCTCAGCTTCCTGCCCTGTGATCTCTCTGACCTTTGAGAATGCCTTTCCCCCATTTCTCCACCTTCGAAGGGAAAGCGCTTTTCTGGGCGGCTGAGGGAGAAGCCTGGAAGGTGAGAGGCCCAGGGACGCAGGAGGGGAGAGGGGCCTCCGGGCTCCCAGGGCCCACCTCCCCGCCTGCTCCCCGCCCTCTGCGAGCCCCTCTCCCGGGTAACCTGGAAGCTGGCAGGCACTGAATAGGGGCCGCTGGCTGCTGCAGACCATACCATTCAAACGTCCGATGGGGGAAGGTGAGAGCCATAGGGCGGAAGAGGCATTGAGACCTCCCCCTTGAGTGCCCCCAGCGCCCCCGCCCCCTGAGAGGGCTCCAAGGAGACAGGCTGGAGGGCGCCCTGGGAAGGCCAGGAACAGGGCTCCCCTCTCCCTCTCCCAGCCCAGTTGCCATCCCTACCCTCCTGGTGTCCCCTCCCCCAAGGCAGGGCCCAAACTCTTCTAGACAAAGCCAGGTCCAGCGGGAGTGAAGGGAGGCGCCCACTCTGCCCAGCCTGGCTGACGGAGGACAGGGCTCTGCAGAGCCCAGGGCGAGCTGGGGCCACAGGGGGCACGGGGTGCTCCTTGCGTCTCCTTGGGGCAGCTGAGAAGACCCTCTACCCGCTCTTGGAGCTGCTGAGGGCTGGCTCTGAGGTCAGTGCCTGGGGGACCGCAGGAGGTCTGGGGAGGACAGCGGGGGTGGGGGTGGGTGGGGGGGTGGGTAGGGTGTGCTCAGACTGGGGAGGCCCTGGGCTTCTGTGGAGAGTGGAGGCCTCATGGGGGCAGTGGCTAGTCCGAAGCCAAACAGGAACATGTGCTCCGAGGCCCTGCTCAATGGAGCTCCGAGGCAAGACAGAAGGTTCTGGACTAAGCTTCAGAGCTATGGCCAGAGCAGGGCCGCCGGGTGCCCTGCCCTCAGGGAGGTTCCGCGCCTTGGTCTGGCGGAGGCCTCCTTTCCCGGAATCAGCTGGCCTGGCTGCTCAGAGGCACCGAGGGGCCGGGCAACTGGCCTGGCGTGTGCCCAGGCAGGGGGTTTGATGCTCTCAAGCACTTCGGAATCTCTTGCTTCCAAGGGAATGACTCAGATGCTAATCACAGCCTCCTGGATCTCTTTATTAGAGTGCTTCCCAAGGACTGAAGCCAGGACCTGCTTTGCTGGCCTCACAAGGTCTCCAGGTGACGTGAAGGCCTCGAAACAACAGTAGGATTAGCGGGACTGAGACTTCTCCCCGTCAGACTGAGCTTTTCCTCCTCCCAGCCAAGCAGAGCCCAAACTCTTCTAGACAAAGCCAGGTCTAGCGGGAGAGGGAAGGGAGGCGCCCGCTCTCCCACTCTGCCCAGCCTGTCAGGGTGGAAGTGAGGGACAGCCAGGTGTTCTCCATGGGAGATGGCGGTGGGCACACGCCATCTGTCCTCCACGCTCAGATTCAGGGAAGGGACAACCCGTGGCCAGAGTGCCCTCCAGGCGATGCCTGCAAGGCGGAGGTCCTGCGCAGCTAGATGGGCATCAGAGTTTCCAGCTGGGAGCTGGGAGGGGTCCCGTTCTGCCTGGAAATGCTGGAAGGAGTGGTGGCAGGGAGTGGGTAGGAAGTGGGGTGGGGTGCACTGGATGCCCTTAGTCGGCCGGGCACAGGACAAAGCTGTAGGCAGCAAGGAAGCTGGTCCTATGGCTGCTGGTGAGTGCCTGGGTGGGGACTGGGGGTGGGGGTCGGGAGGTGGGAGCGGTGGCCCTCTCCACTTCCTACCGCCTGCCGACAGGGACCCTCTGCGGCCACCTGCAACGCCTCCTGCTGAGTGTAGGTGCAGGAACACGTCTGAGTTAGATTAGGCTGCAAGCTGGGGAAAGAAGGGAAATCCGCTACCCCCAGGCTCACCGAAGTCTCCAAGAGCAAAGAGAAATAAGTGGTTATTATTGGACCATCCTTGGGGTTTCCTGTCCTGTGTTTGTGGAAGTCAGAGATCACAAAGGCTGGCTCCAAAGCGGGAGGTCGCCCGTTGTGTGTTTTGTTTGGCCTGCTGTAGCGTTTTAAGTATTTGAAAATGCATTCCGAAGTGTTTGGAATCGCGTTTGTTTAGCCCCCACTCCTCTCTCTCAATCTCTCGTTAACCGAATTTGAATTCGCTGCCAACATTTAAACCAGGAAAGTTTGCCTGATAATCCAGATTTTTGGCTTCTCGTGGGGAACTGGAAGGGCCGACTGCACTGGGCCTGCCTCTGGCATTCCACCAGCCTGGCCCAGGCACCTGCCCTTCCTAGACAGGCTCACCTGCCCCTGTCATCTGGTCACATGCTATCCACCAGCCTGGCTCTGCCAGCAGCTGTCTGTGGACCATCTGCCGTGCTCCCTCTAGTGTCATCCTATGTGATAAGAGGTGACTGGTGTTTGTGGGTTTTGAGCCCCACCCTGTCAACTCCGTTGTTCTCTGTGGGTTCTTTTCCACCTGTTCTCAGAGCAGCTCAGTGAGCCCTGGGAGAGGGTTGGGAGCCAGAGGATTGGCAAGGCCCTGGGGCCAGGAGTCAGAAAACCTGATTCTGGCCTTTCCTTGGTCACTGGCTCACAGTGTGTCCTTGGGCCTGGCCTACCCTTAGTGGGCCTCAGTGCCTCACTCGTCATGGGAGAGCCTGGGCTATCTCAGGAAGCACCATGGGGCCAGGCAGGTGGCATCAGGGGTGCAGTGGGCCTGGGAGAGTGTGGCGAGCTGGGGCCAGTGCCTTATCTAACGGAGGCAGCTGCTGCTCAGCCCCAGCTACTGCGTGCCAGGCACAATTGGCTCATGTTGCCAGTGTGACATTTCAAGAGATAGAAGATGTTCAGATATTTACGTGAAATCTCTTACTTTTTTTGTTGTTTACGGTTTTTAATCACAATTTAAATGTGTAAAACTACTGCCAGAGCCAAACGAAACACACTGGTGGGCCCCTCGTTGGCAGCCCTGGCATCAGATAATTGCTAGGCTCTTTGCACCCCACACTCCAGGACTCACTCCTGCTCACAGAGCAAGTTATTGAGGAGTTGGTCTTAGATTCCAGGTTTTCAGGTCTAAGACTCTATTGTGAGTCATGAGAACTGATTTTAAAAGTCCTGGCCCCTCCATTGCTGGCGGGCAGGGAGACAGCAGGAAGAGGACCCGAGTTCAGGCCAGCTCCATCGTTTCCCGCTGTGTGACCTTAGCCTGTCGCCTCTGTGGGCCTCACTGTTTAGCAGCGCCCAGCCCCCGCCCATGTTCCCCTCCCCAGGCCTGGGTCCAGACGATTTGCCTCTGAGCTTCTGTCCCATTCCTGTTGCAGGAGCCATGAGCACGGAGGGCCCCAGTGCCCTCACAACTGGCACCCCGGGGAGCCCTGTGGAGGCAGCGGCCCCCCTGCCCGTGCTCATTGCCTTGGCCTGCATCTTCCTCCTGCTGGCCTCCTGTCTGCTGTTCATGACCCTCTGCAAGCCGGCTGCACTGGACCCCAGCCGCCAGGCTCGAGAGCGCATGCCCCACCATCCCGGGAGCCCCAGCGAGCCCCAGCTCCGGCTCTGGACGCGCCTGGGCTCCCTGCGCCGCTCCCTGCACAGCTTCCGGCGTGGCCGGCCCGCACCGCCACGCTCCCTGCCGGACCACGATAACAGCCATGGCTGGGACTGCACGGAATCTACCAAGATATGACAGGCTGCCCGCCGCCACCCAGGATCTAGCCTCGGACCCTCCTCCCTCGGACACAGCCTGGCACCACAGGCTGCAGGAAGACAGCGGCCCCGACACCCTGTGTGCCTAGGCCCAAGGCCTTTCCCAGGAAGCCCTGGGAGAACACCTTCCTCTCTGCAGACCCTCCCGCCGCTGCCTGCTGAGACTGCTGGCTGGTGTGGGAAGCGGCAGCCTGGACCCTGGGCTGAGGCTCTGGAGACAACAACTGGCCCCCAGGGTTCCTCTCTGGCAACCAGGCACCAAGCGCCTCCAGGGAGCAGGGCCTGATTCCCAGCAGAAGGCATGCCCTCCCTCCACTGCCAAACCCAGCTCAGATTTCAGTGCAAATTGTGGAATGGCTGACGGTTCCCTCCAGCCAAGTCTAAACTGTTGACAAGGTCCTGTTCTGCCCTGGGGCCCACTCAGGGCCCAAGGCAGAGGGGAACCCAGAGACTCCTCTCGCCTTTCCTGGGCCCTGTCAGCATTGCCCAGCAATCCCTAGCAATCCCTGGGAGCAGCTGCACCCTGTGGTAGACCAGATGCCTGGGTGCCTGCGGGGAGGGTAGGGGGAAGGGCAAGTGAGGCTCCCAATACTGACCAGCCAATTGCGACCCTGGCTGCTCCCCTTCAACGCACCCATGTAGTGGGATGGACCAGGAAGGGGCCGAGAATGGGTTAACCCAGCGGTTCTCAACCTGTGGGTCGCAACCCCTTTGGCAGTCGAATGACCCTTTCACAGGGGTCGCCTAAGACCATCCTGCATATCAGATATTTACATTATGATTCATAGCAGTAGCAACATTACAGTTATGAAGTAGCAACGAAAATAATTTTAGGGTTGGGTCACAACATCAGGAACTGTATTTAAAGGGCCAGAAGGTTGAGAACCACTGGGTTAACCCTTCCTCCAGAAGCCAGGCCGGTGCTGTGTCAGAGTGGCAGGAGGCACTGCCAGCCGGCACTGCCAGCCACTGAAGGTGATGCCACCTGGGCTCTGTGGACACAGCATAGTGGCTCCGTGCCTCACCCAGGGAAGGCGGTGGGAGGGTCCAGACTTCTCCAGGACAGCTATGGGACTTACAGCCTGGACCACACCGGGGTTCTATCTTTTGGGTGATTGCTTCAATGACTAGCTACCTGTCTAAGCAATCCCACGGAGGGCAGCTTCTCAGAATCCCTTACTCTCCCTTCTCCTCCCAAAGCCAGGGCTCTGTGCTGTGGTTGGCTCCCACACTTGGAGAACGGGAAGAGGGGGATCTGAGGGGCCGGCCAGGGTCATCTCATGCTTGGCCATGGGGCTGCCCCTGTCTACCCTGCTATGACCCACAATGCAGCTGGCCAGGTCTTCTCAACGAGTGAGCTCTGGTCCCACTCCTCCCAGCTCCCAAACCATCGCTGCTCCCTAGTGCTGGCTGCACAAAGCCACGCGCCTCCGCCTGGGAGCTCACAGAGGGCGAGACTGCGCCCAGCCCCTCACTGGGCTCCACCCGCTGGGGCACGGAAGAGTGAGGCTGGTTACTGAGTGAAGGGAGGCCCCATCTGGGTACATCCACCTGCCCCAAAGCCTAAGGAGTTATGTTTTCCCTCAGATGCCCCAGGGAGCTACTCTCTCTGCAAGCAGGCCCCGTGGAGAGGCCCATGCCCCTTCCTCCAGGTCGGGATGACGTCCCAGTCCTGCTTGGATGGGAACTTCCGGGAGAAGCCGGTGCCTGCATCTCGCCCCGAGGAAGGGGGAGAACTGGGCTGCCCCACATGCCTGGCAGGTCTCGGACTGGTCTGCGGAGTGTTGTGTAATAGAAACCAATCCTTTGGGTTTAGAAAGTGGGGCAGGCCCCCTCCCAACAGGCTGTTACCCCTCCCTCTCCACCCCCTGGGCCTCCCTGAGACATCCCAGGACGAATTCCTCCTACAGTCAGTCCCCCATGCCACCCCCTGGCCAGGTGCCCTGCTTGGCACTGGAGACCCGGGGTGGGGGGTGAGGCTGCCCTGAGGCCTGAGGGAGAAGGAAAGGCCTGGCCATACCCCAGGGTAGGAGGTTTTCGGGTAGGAGGGGCTCTCCAAGCCCCCAGGAGCAGATCCAGAGGGAGAGAATTTCCCTCCTCCTCCGGGAACCAGCCAGGCCCTTGTAAATCCCCGTGGTTTTCTGGACTCTTGGTGCCTCTGGGCGTCAGCACCCTGCTCCCAGTGCTTTCCTGCCTCCTCCTAGTCCCGAGGCAGGGTGTTGGGCGCAGTCCCAGCCTCCCAAGCCCAGAGCCTGTTGCAGCAGACAGGCCCAGTTTTGCTGTGTTTGGCTCAGCATCCAAGCTGGAAACGCTTGCAGCGGATGAAGAGGGTAATTCATTCCCAGCCTCCCCGGCCCCCCCCGCCACCCGCCCCCCTGCCCAGCGCAGAGGCCTCTGGGTGCTGGGAGGGCCCGGGCCCCACTTCCACGCCATCCTCTCCCTCTGCGTCTGCCCCCTTTCTTCTTGTGCCTGGTTGCTTCCCAGGAGAGGAGCTTCAGCCAAGGGCCCATGAAAGCCACTCTGTTCTGGGCAGTGCTGGGCCCTGGCTCCCTCCTCAACTCCTTTTCGGGAAAATGCGACAAGGCCATCTCCTCTCTGCTCTGAAAGGCCCACCTGGGTGGGGTGGGACAAGGCGAGGGCTGTGGGGAGGAGGGAGAAGAGGGGGCCAACGCCTCTTTTCTGTGTTTTGGGGCGGAGCCAGGGCCCTGTCCCTGATTGCACAGTAACCTGGGGTCCTACTCTGTCCCAGGGAGGAGGGGGCCTGGGTCCCCCTTCCCCACGGCACTGGATACTCCCGGGCAGCAGCTGGGCCCGCTCCTGTTTCCATCCCTCCCCGCCAGGATGCCACTGAGCACGTGCACTCAGACCCGACTGCGGCCCTGCCTGCCCCCAGCCCACCAGCCACCACCTACCTGCACGATGCTGTGGCCCTCAGGGATGTCCTCGGGGACACTGGCCTCGTAGCTGCTCTGCAGGAAGATGGGCCGGTTGTCATTCACGTCCAGGACGGTGACGAACACGGTGGAGGTGCCGGTGCGCCGCTTGCCCACCGGGCCGTTGTCTGTGGGAGGTGATGGAGGATGGGCTGTTAGCTGCGGCCTGAGGGGCAAATTTCCTGGGCACATGCCCCACTCACCCCAGCCACTGTGGCCCCTGCGGGCGGCTCTTTTCCTTCCTAGATTAGGAATGACGCTAACGACATCTAGTGTGTCCCTCAGTCTCTCAAGCAGCCTGTGCAGCAGGCACTGTTGTGATTATTCCCATTTTACAGAGGAGGGAGCTGAGGTGTGAAGTGGCTGGATGGTGGCCCCCAAAAGATATGCTCACGTCAAGTCCCTGGGAACCTGTGAATGTAAACTTATTGGGAAAAGGGTCTTTGAAGAGGTAATCAGGTTAAGGACCTAGAGATGACACGTCCTGGGTTATCAGGTGAGCTCTATGTCCAATGCCAAGGGTCCCTCTCAGAGAAAGGCAGAGGGAGAGCTGAGAGAGAAGGCCACCTGAAGTTGGAGGGAGAGACCGGATCCTGCGGCCACAAGCCCAGAACACGTGGAGCCACCAGCCCCCAGCCGAGTCAAGGACGGGTTCTCCCTGGGGCCTCGGGAGGGAATGTGGCCCTGCTGACCCTTAACTTCTGGCCCCAGAGCCACGCGGGGATCCATTTCTGCTCTTTGAAGCCACTGACTTTGTGGTACTTTGTCACAGCAGACCCAGGAAACAGATTCGGGTACTGAGGTCACAAACCCAGCTGCTGCCAGGCGGGCCCACAAGGCCGCTGCCCCCTGCCATACACAGTGATGGGCAGAGTGTGGCCCAGTGACACTAGATCTGATTTCTCAAGAGAAACTGAACAGGAGCTTTTAAATAAAATCTGATTTTTAAATGCTCACAACGGTCATTCAATATGAAACACAAGATGGGTCAAACATGCTTAAGGGGTGGACGTGGTCGGTGGGCCCGCTACACTCCGGGATGTGGGCCCTGCTGGATTTCTAAGCCTAAGGTAGCTGGGGGTCCTTCCCCTTCAGCTCCCTGCAGGAAGCTGAGCTGGGGAGGTGGCTCAGCCCCAGGGCAGCTGTTGAATCATTCTTCCTGGAGGAAGGAGCTGTGACCAAGCTGCATGTCTCGGCAAGGACAGTCACCCCAGAGCTCCTCCCAGGCTTCCGCTGGGCAGCGAGAGTTGCCTGAGGACCAGTGGTGACCCTTCCCCAGGCCAGCTGACACGTGCTGGGATGCAGTCGCCCAGCCTGAGTCATCTCCTCCTCCCACTGCCTCGGGGGTCGTGCTTACTTGCCCCGGCTGGGGACAGTGTGAGCTGGCAGGCCCATAAAAGGCCGGAGCCTGAGCCCTGTCCTGCCAGCCAGTGCTCCTCATGAAGGCTGGACTCAGTGGGGAGATGGGTCCCCAGAGGGCGGTGTGGCTGCCCAGGGTGGGAGCAGAGCAAGGCGGAGGGAAGATGCGTGGGCGTGGGCAGGCTGGGGAGGGACTGCGCTGGAAAGAGTGAGGCCAGAGAGCACATTCCCTTTCCACCCAGAGCTCAGTGCAAACACTGAACTGGGTGCTTCTGGGAGGGCCAGGGCTCGCAGGGAGGCAGAGGTCTCATCATGCCCTCCTTCCTACCCAGGGCCCCCAGGAGCTCCTGCTGTCTGGAAACTGAAGCCTGAACTTCCAGTCTAACATGTAGGCCTCCACTGCTGCCTCTACCTGATTGCAGTCCCTTCCCCAATATATGCCACACTAAAGAGAGCAAAGGTGACAAAGACAGACACAAACACACACACACGCTCTGTCCCACCTCCAGGCCCTTGCATGGGCTGGCTCCTCTGCCTGAATGCCCTCCCTGCTTCTCCTGGTACTGAAACCTCACCTGGCCTTCAAGCTGGTGGTGGGTCTGCCTCATTTCTCCCCATAAGCACCATCCTGCCCTTAGGTAAGTCCATGCCCTAAAGGTTGCTCCAAGAACCACCCTTCCTGCCTCTGAGGCCTGGGGTTCCAGGTGGGTCTGACTATCTCCCCCCCCCCCCCCCCCCCGGCTCCAGGAACAGGCATGCGATTTAGGCCTAAGCCACCAGCACACCTCACCCTCTTGTCCATGACCAGGGGGTCAGGGACAGGCACTGGGGCAGGTGGAACTAATCAGAGTTCCTTCCAGGCTTCCGCTGGGAGACTGGGAAGAGACAAGTGCTATCTCCTGCTGCTACACTTGAACCCAAGAGGATTGAGGCCAGGGCTGCAGCAGCCATTTGTCTCCATGTGAGGCAGAGGCAGAGAGGCAGAGCCAGGCCACAAAGGGAGATTGAGGCCTGGTGGCATCCCCTGAGCCCCAGATCGTCATACCTGAAGTTCCATCTACCTCCCGGCAGACTGGTTCTGTGAACTCATATTCCTGAAGTCAGTTTATTTTAAAATTTGCAACTAACTGATCCAATGGTATTCCCTGATGCCACCTCCTCCAAGAAGCCTTCTTTGATCACCCCCACTCCCCCCACCACATTTCCACCACCCTTTGTGCCACTGTTCTTGGGTCGTCCCTTCTCCCTTTCTGCTTTGTTTGGCCTGGTTCTGCAGTGATTTGTCCACATGCTGGCCTTTCATTTGGCTCTCATGTGACTCCCACCACACCATCTTAGTGTCGTGCACATAGCACCGGGCACTGAGCCTCATGCCTGGAAACTACTCAGTCATATGTCCATGTCTGGCCGCTCTTTCTCCACTGGCATCAGGGCAGAACCGCTGGCTCAAGGCCTGGCACCTCATGTGAACTCTGCCCAGAGGAGCCGTGTGTGGTGTGCAGGGAGGGCCAGTGCATACCAATGGCCTCCAGGACGAGTGTGTACGCGGCCGTGGTCTCCCGGTCCAGGTTCACCACTGTTCTCACAACGGCATCGCGGTAGCCAACGCTGAACTTCCCATCCACGTTTCCACCTGTGGGCAAAAGAGAACGAAGCTTCGGTCAGGAAACAGGGCTCCTGGTTAGAGAAAGGGAGGGGGCACCCACCTTGGCTTCTGAGCCCCGACACTAGAGGTGGTCCATCTGCCCACTCGGTGCTGCCTGAGAAGAGGGTTCTGGAGGGCCCTGATGAGGGTGTGGCCTGAGTGGGCTTAGGCGGGGGTGCAAATGCCTGAAATCACAAGGGTCTACCTGACATTCATTGAGCACCTACTGTGGGCCATTCTGTTTCATGTGCACGATCACTGTCTCCATGTCTCAGACAAGGACACACTCCTTTAATGAGGTTATGTGCGGTGCTCTGGGTGAGTCACCTATTTGGGGTGAAGGACTCCAGTCCAGCCGTTTGCTTCCCAGGGGCCGTCTCAGCCTCACATGGGCTGTCTCAACCTCCCTGGGGCCGTGTCAGCCTCACCGGGGCCATCTCAGCCTCACAGGGGCCGTCTCAGCCTCACATGGGCTGTCTCAACCTCACTGGGGCCGTGTCAGCCTCACCGGGGCCGTCTCAGCCTCACTGGGCCCGTTTCAACCTCACGGGGGCCGTCCCAGCCTCTCAGGGGCCGTCCCAGCTCCACGGGGGCCACCTCAGCCCTACGGGGGCCGCCTTGGCCTCATGGGGGCCGTCTTGGCCTCACGGGGGACGTCTCAGCAACACAAAGTTTGGAATTCTGTCCTTTGTTGGGCGGCTCCTTGCTGGACAAAATCTCCAGGCGTTCCTGGTGGCTGAATATATGGTATGCTTACTTGGATTTCGTTTTCTACCAAGTGCACAGACTGCCTGTCTGCCGTCTCCCAGTGTCCCATGTGAGACTGGATCTGGTGGACCTGCCTGTGTGTTTGCTGGTACAGCGGTTCCACATCGCCGGCCCAGCCGGGTCTGGCTCCGGCTTCCTCCGAACCTGATTCTGCTTCTTGAGTGTGTCCCTTATGTATGCGAGGAGTTGAAATCTGCATTCTGCTGGGCTGGGCTGCAAAAGCACTGGTGGTTCTCTTTGTGCCACTAGCACAGCTTGGTTGGGGATGTAAATTGAGTAGGGCGGTGCTGGGGTCTAACCCCAGCAGGTCCAGGGGTCCCCAAAGGTGTGGACGGAGTCGGCGAAGAAGGAATGACACAGAGACAGCGTTCAGTTGATCAGCAGCCTAGCCAGGATCTCTAGCCAAGTTCTGGTTAGGATCTCCAGCCAGGTTCTGTGTCCATGTTCTCTTGCTAGGTTCTCCAGGTTCTCCAGCTAGGTTCTGTAGCCATGTTCCCTCGCTAGGTTCTCCAGCCAGGTTCTGTCCAGGTTCTCCAGCCAGGTTCAGTCACCAGGTTCTAGTCAGGTTCTCTTGCCATGTTCTATCCAGGTTCTGTAGCCAGGTTCTGTCTCTAGGTTCTTCAGCCAGGTTCTCTCACTAGGTTCTGTCTCTAGGTTCTGTGGCCAGTTTCTGTCCAGGATCTTTTGCCATGTTCTCTCCAGTGAAGTTCTTCTGTCTCTAGGTTCTGTGTCTAGGTTCTGAGTCTTGTTGTCTTGTTACATCTGTATTTATACCAGTTGATTCCAATCCTATCAATCTCTATTCCAAAGGTTAGGGCGTTTCTTATCTCCATTCCAGGGAGTAAAGATTATGTAGCTTAAGCATGACTGTTCGTAGTTAAAGTGATTAATTACCTGCCTGGCACTTAGTTAAGGGGTTTTATTCCCTCCCTAACTTCAGGGGAAAAGCCCTACCTGGGGAAACAACCTTTCTCAGAGAGGTGACCTTGGTTAAAACACATAGTGCCAAGAAGGTGAGCAAACATATTAAGAACAGTGTGCCATATATGACAGGTCCCTTGAAACATATGCTGTGCAGATGTTTCTTTCCTGCAGCAACTGTGTCAAGCAGCAAGGATGGACCGGCTTCCGGCAGGGCGGGGTCCCCGGGAATCACCAGGGCAGAGCAAGGGGCAATGGCATCTCTGTGACTCCTCGCCTCTCCTCGACTCCCC